TGACTATCGAAAAAATCTCAATGCTAATGATTTATCAACAACACCACCTACTCCACCATCACCACGCGACATATCTCTTGGAAGAAAAATTGTTGAATCATTAACACATCAAGATATAAATGCATTACTTAAATTGAGTGGAAGTGAACATGATGATGATGATGATGACGATGATGATAATAATAATCCATCAATTGATGGTGATACTGATGATGATACAAATAATTTTTCTATTGATGAAGATTCAAATGATATACCTAATGGTAATTATAATAATAAAAATTATGAACGATGGGAACGTCCAACACCTATTCCATCACGACCAACACAATCATCTAGTATAAATAATAAAAAATCAACAATTGAAACATTAATATTACCTAGTTTTAATCGTTGTACCCATTTGGGTAAATCAACAAAACGATCGGCTGGTGTTGAACGTATGTTTCCATCGTTTTCAAAACATAATTCTGGTCCATCGTCGACACTTAGTTTAATTCTTTATGGATTATCTTCAACTCCTTGAGTAAACTTTTGTGTCTTTTTTTTTCTTGTTTTGTTTTGTTGTTGTATTATTGATATGTCTTTTGTTACTTAATACATTTCTTTCGGTTTTTTTTGTATCTATATATGTGTATCGTCTACTATATTTCTTTGTTTTTCAGATGTATATCAGCCATGATAATTTAATTTTATGATTCTCTTGTATTGGCCACATCAATTAAGTAAGTACATATGGAAACATTGACTTCGAAATATAATTGCATTTCTAACATAAAATAGGCTGCGACGAGAATAGAGACAGTCTCAGATAATAAATATTCATGAGTTGAAATTAGTAGAGTTATAGTCATTTTTCTGAAGATTTTGACATGTTGACATTAATACAAAAGGGAATCTTGAATGAAGATACCTTGTTCATTATTATAGCTTTCGTTTGATTTTATTTAGGAGAAGCATCTTTTAATAATTTAGCAAAATTCAATTTCTTCCTATCTAAAGATGCACTTTTATTCTACGAAAAACTGGTAGAAGTTCGAAATTGACCATAATAGTAACAGAATTATTTCTATCGCTCTAGATCGCATAAAGATTTTTCTGAAACTTCAATAACTGAGAGAAAAAAGAATCATTTCTTCTAATTGATATCTGCAGAGTATACAGAAATCAATTGGGTTCAAACATTTATCATTTCTTTACGTATGAAATTTTTTCTAGTTTTATCAATATTTACTTCTATCAAGCGAAAATGTCAATGGAAAATCTTTCATTATAACTTAAATATAAAACAAAACTTGAACGACTGATGCCTATGGGCAAAAGTCTTTCCCTATCTCCCTCTTATTCTTTTCGTATCGAATCCCTTTCATCTCAGGTGAATGTAGATTACAAAAATAACCTAAATACTGTATTTTAGTATAGTGCTTGATTGATTGTGATCTGCTTCAATGAAGAATGTACTTCATTCAATATAATCAGCAAGCACTGCGAATGAATTAGTTGATAGAATTCTTCATGGTTGAATTATGTCTTTTTTGATTGCTTTACTAGTTTTATTGTATCTGTATTTGTATAATCGACTATGTCGTATTCTCGGAAAAGCTTCGAGTTGGCGACAATGAGAGTTTAATGATTCAAACCAGTAAAACGCTTAGTAGATATAAAAAAAAGAACCCATTCGTGAAGTATTTTGCCAGTCAACTCATTTGTAATGTTGCTCAATTGTATCGAAAAGTGTGTATTCTTCATTGAAGCAAATTATCATCAATCATACATTACATTATAATAAAGTACTTCAGACATCTTTGTCACTAAAATTCAATTAAGACCAAAAGGGTTCGATACGAAAAGAATGAGAGGAAGTGAGGAGAAGATTTTTGCTCAAGAGTGTATATGAATTGTTTGTCTTCTTTTTTTTTACAGAATGACGTCGAATAGTGTAATTATTGGAAATCCTCCTACAACTAATGGCCAAATATTATCTACAAAAAATAAACTAAACGAATTGTATTCAACATATAAAAGTCATTCATCATCACCAAATATTTCTCGTTCATCATCATTTTCATCAATACATTCATCATCATCATCTTCATCTTGTTTATCTAACAAACCCAATGCAGATTCTTCAATAAATAAAATACATTCTAATTCAACATTATCTTCGAATCATCGTAAAGAATCAACATTAAAACTTCCATATCCAGTTTTATCTGATCATCGTGATCCATCATCAATACTTGTTTTATTACAAAAAGAAACTCAAGCAACATCAAAAAAAATTTCTAATGTTATTAAACAAATTGAAGACTATGAACAACGTTTAACATTAAATATTTATACAGATAATGAAAAAAAAACTTTTAAATATGAACGTGCTAAATTAAAACAACAATTAGATGCATTAAAGAAACATGAACGTCGTGTTAATTTACAAATTGATTTTATAACAACTAAAACAGAAATAAAAGGTTTAGAAGATGAACAAAAACAATTTGAAAATAATCAAAATTCAGATGAAAGTCAACAAATAAAAATTTTATTAGGAAAATTAAAACAAAAATTAGATAAAATGAAAATTTATATGAAAACAAGAAATGAACAAATGAAAAAAATTAGTAATACTAAACAACATTTAACTACTTCAAATAATAATGGAAAATCATCATTATCATCTAGTCAAAAACAACAACAACAACAACAACAACAACATTTTTATTCGTCATCAACAAAAGACTTGGTAGTACTCTAAATGATGATAGTTATTCAAAGAGTAAACTAAATAGATTATGTATTAAAATCGATCATTTTCAAAAATTTGACTTTGTCTAGAGATATTTAGAGTAACTAATCTTGCACATCCCTAATTTTCTCGAGAAACTTTTGGTTACAAGATTAATACAATATTACACAACGTCAATTTCTGTACTATATCTATTTGATTGTTTTCCGAGTCTGTTAAGGAAAACAAATTTAATTAAATATTTGTCTAGTGCTTCTCTTAATATGAAACTTAAGTTTTGTTTTTCATCTGAAAATTCTGTTATTATAAGATCAGAGAACTCACTTTCGTTTCTGGAACAAAAATAGATTTTATGACAATCTATATTTGTTATTATAGAATCGAAAACGTCCTTCAACTTCCGTAAATAATGGTCATTCGAACAAACGTTTAAAATCAACAGTACCTATTGTTCGTTTAACATCTCGTGTAACAAGTCATGATTCAAAAAAACATTCAATACAACCACCAATAGTACGATTTATTAATAAAACAACAGATTCAACAATTACAACAATCAATTCAGCATCTCCCACAACACCAGCATCATCATCATCAACTTTATCACCACCGTTAGTTGCAAGTACAAGTCTTGGAGATATGAATACTAGTCAAAATTCTGTAGAACAGGTAATTAGTATTGTTTAATAAAAATTTTTTATTTGTTTGTTTTGTTTTTAGAATGATATTCCATCAGTTGATGATGGTGATGATGATAACAATGAACTTGATCTTGAACTTGATATAGATGAATTATTTAATGATGATTCATGTTCACAACAAACAATACAAAGATTAAAAGCCGAAAGAAACGAAATAACACGTCAAATTCAAGTCAAACAGAATACGTGACAATAAAGAATCATAAAAGAAAATGAAAATGTATATAATTTTTCTTCTTTTTTTTGTATGTATTCAAATCTCGTTTTGTTTTTGCCCGGTCCTTTTTCTTTTTGTTTATCACTATGAGCTACTGCTATTTTTTTTAAAGACTTGTCATTGTTCTATTCATGGATCTACATTATGATCACCTTTCTTTTTGTTCTTCATTCTTTTTGATATAATCCATTTGTTCTGTCACTGGTAGTCGTAAAAGAAGTAAAGAAAAAAAAATATGAACCATCATTGTCATTGTAAAATATGTGACATGATAATTGAAAACACAAAACGATTGTTTTATCGCAATGAAGGAATATTTTTGACATTGCTTTTATAGATTATTAGTTAAAGGAAAGTACGATTGATCCATCAATATCAATTACAAAAAAAAATAGTAACTCATATATTGCATCCCGTTTCATTTGAAAATACAAGTTAGTTGAACAAAAAATATTATTAAATATGTTTTGAGGCAACACATTCAAAACAAGGTAATATGAATATTATTAATTTACCTACTTTTCCGGATTGTTTTGTTACAGGATATTATTATCTAAGTTTAATAGAGAAAAATACTTTTCTTTATTGAGCTACTGCTATCTGAAATAATTTGACTGATTACATAGTTATTAGAAGTTCATATAATTATAACATACTTTAAAAATAACCAGATCACATTTTATGAGCATGTACTGCATAAACTATAATTACAAATGTTAAAAACGAAAGGTTGTGTAATCAAATCTTCAAATGTATTCTTCAGAAATCATTTAAAAAAAACCGATAGCGAGAAATACTTTTTAAGAATCTTTCATTGTTTTAATCTGAAATAGTTTACTTAATTTGAAGCATAGTTTACCAATCAAAATCAATCCATTTTCTCAATTAATGGTGCTGATTCGAATCATAAATGATCCGTTTGTATTGTTAAAAATAGAACTGTACAAAGAAAAAACCTTTGACACAAAAAAGAAAATGATCGTACTATTATATGACAAAGAATTATTTTTAAATAATATCAGCTGGTGCAAAACAAAAATAATTTTACAATCTGCTATTCAGAGTACAAAGCATAGGAGAGACGATGATGATATTGTGGTATTATGAAAAGAAGAAAAATGTTTATATATTTTTTTCATTTATTAGAAAGATTTGTTTTCTTAAATATGCCAGCATTTATATAAAATTTATTGCAGATATTATTTTGTCAGAAAAACAAAGATGACATTAACATTTAAATGTTATCAAAACAATTTTATGATCAACAATTTAAATATTGTTTCATTTGGAGGTGAATTATAATTAAAAAATAAAAGAAAACTATAAAAAAATACATATAATGACTCTTTTTTTAGACTGTTTTGGTTCTATTATTGCATGTATGGCTTTTGCACTGTTGATTGAATTAAATCGAGGTATTGATCTTTACCTTCGACATTATTCAGTAACTAGAACTAATGTTAATTCACCTCAATCAAATACTTTATCGGAAAACGCAATCCGAAGACGACGGTATTTCGAGGATCAAATTTAGATTCTATGAATTTCATTCTGTTGCTTTCAGATTTACGCTGCATATTTTACGTACACTTGTACATTTAGCTCAAACTGCTTTGAGTTATATATTAATGTTAATGGTCATGAACAATTTTGCCGTTTTTTTTCTCTCTGCTACAATTGGTATGATCATTGATTGTTTGAAATGATGTGTCCATATATTTGCATATTCATTTATTTAGCTCTTGGAATCGGTTATTATCTTTTGAACGGTGTTCATCCATATACACGTAGTGCTAATCATCTTCATATGTCGAATACAAATAGTGATCTTACAAATCCAACAGATATTTTAAATGAAGAGGATGAGCAGCCAGTTACATCACGAACAACTTGCTCACATCAAAGAGAAACGTCGATAAACGCTTGACACATTTTCATATGCCTATTGTCTTTACTATTATCATTATATGTTTCTACTAACTAAACTATACAGATTTTTTCTGCGTCGTTCATCTATTTTTTGTTACATATCAGTAATTCAATATAATACAAATGTTTGCAGTTAATCGAATATTGAGTCATTTAAAATCTACATCAATAGAAATCTTAAATACCTGCAATGAAATATCTTACAGAAACCAAATAACTATTAAAACAATTTAGAAGACTTTATCTTAATATCTGTCAATATGATGAACCGGTGAACATAGAAGGAAAATCATGTCAATAAATGACATATGAAAAATAAAACAATCAATAAAACATAATCTTAATTGTTTGTATTAATTTAACATTAAAAAACCTTTCTACAAGTAGGATACACTTAAAAACCAGCTTATCACTATGATTCAATAATAGATCGATTTCATAGGCACATATCTTCATTGACTCATCCTTCAAATGAAGTGTATAAAATTCCTACTTTTTCTAAAACTGAAAGCAAGACCAATCAACGAGAAACACTTGAACAAAAAAGTAATTTTGATTCAATAATCCATATTTATAGATATTTAAATCAGTTAACAATATTTAAATGATATCAGTTTCAGTTAGAACCATTCAAAACTCACGTAACCAATGTTTTGTTGGCTATTGATCGAGCCACTACTGTTTCCACACGTTCATAATAACTCATTTAACTTCAATTAATCATGTGTCATCCTATTAAACATAGCCCAAAACTAGACTATCTCCTCTTTTACAATAAGAATAGTTGCAATGGCAAGTCAACACAAGGCAATGAAAGGTAACAATCGTCGCTTACGGTTGCACAATGACCAGGTAGACAACTATCGAATTATCTTTTACAAGATGATACATGATTGGCTGAAAAGTTTCTCTCGAATGTTTCAGAATCCGTGTAGTCAAGTCATGTTATGAATCTCTTTAACAAAGGTCAAATCGGTCATGGCAATTTTCACTCACACTGTATGAGTTATTCCAAGCAAAACGGGACGTACCTTCCTTTTATTTGATTGTGACTCTTTACGTAGGTTATTTTTCTAAATAAGTTCTTTTAGCATAAACACATGTAAAAATATTGACTCTTTTGCCTGGCTATTTCGAACTTATCATTCGGTTATAAGAGCATTTTTTGTTTGTATGTTCGAACTCCGTCACATCACTTACCAGAAATAAGTCGATTTTTTTGAAAAATCTGGGATTGTTTAGAAAATTTCTTTTTGGAAAAATTTTGTAGTCTCAGGAGTCATCTACAGAATATACTATTTAGTCTTCAAAACTGCTGCCTCAATTGGGAGTTTTTTAAAAGTAAAATACATAAAGTGAATGTTGATGTCCTTTTTTTGTGTTACGTCGTTAACACTAGTTTTTCCTGATAATATCTTTGAAGAAAGGACTTGAACGCTGATTTTTTTAGGGTATCTAAAGTAATTTAACGTACTTATAACGTATAAAAATTAGCTGTAGGAAAGCTCATTATTCCAAGACACAAGATTTCTAAGTTTGCGAAATTACGTCGCTAACGAATGATTTTGACCATACAAACTTTGCTTGTCATTTTCGCAGTACTTTATTGGTATTCCTTCATCTTTTTGTAGTGATCATGGCTCAATAGCACGTGATCTTGTTTAGAGTAATGGTTTTTATTTTATTGATGATCAAAAAGATTCTTCTCATACTAATGACATCGACTTTTAAGTCCACGGAAGAATTTTTTAAGTAACAACGAAACTGGTGATGGTGGCTTTTGTCTACTCTCACGAGGGAGGTACCCGAAGTGATTAATCGGTTTTGAGTTCAAACTCTGTGCACAAGGTAGACCCCAGTAAGGTGCGAAAAAATTCAAGAGGATCAGCGCCCATAGGCCTTTNAAGGGAAAATATCTCTACGAAAAGAAGAGGAACGAAAATAACAGCAGAAAAGAAAGTGATAAAGAATGAAAAAAAATAGTACATATTTACACGTCTAAAATTTAGATTGACTATATGCATATATTGAATTGTTAACTATAGTCCTGGATCCAGTTTTTTACGGGCTTTCATTTGGTATAAAATTCATTAGGTATCTACTTTAGAATGACATCGCTACCCCCCTGGAAAAAGGTTTTGCAACACCCTGTAGAATAATCGCTTTCAATGTTTTAGTGATAACTTGCTGAAATGGTTTAGATAAAGAGCGACTAAGGTTATGGATTTCCGTTTCGTCTTAACATGTGAACTTGTGACGGAATAGGGTGGATGGTGGGTGGCACAACTATTTTCTCAAGTAGCACAACTTTCAAAATGAATATTTTGTCATAATATGGACTCCAAACCCCTCTATAACCAGCTGTCGCCCTGCTTCACTCCGAGCTATGTGATGAACCCTGATCAACTTACTACCATGCAATAGATCTCGTTGAGGTCTATCTGGCACAATTGTTGTCTCAAGTGGCACACGTCTTGAAACGAATGTTAGGTCAAAATACTGACTTTTGCACTAAAATCAGTGTTTTGAAGGCAGTATTTTTGAGTTTTTCAGCCGTTCCTGACGATGGAAGTTCTTTGAAAGCGAGTCATTGCACAGCATATTCGATATTCTCTCTGGCACAACAACGATCTTGTTTGGCACACGTCTGTTGACGAATATTTGCCCAAAAGACTCGAATCTGGTGCAAACTTTACTTACGTGACACTTTATGAAGACACCGAGAATCGTCATAAAATGATTTTTTGTAACATATCATTTTTTTTTATTTCATTCGATTCTGCGTGAAAAACTGTGGGAATGAAAATTTGTTTAGAGCTTGATACCTTATCTTCACGGAGTTATAGGTATTTTAATAAAAGCACCCCTCAAACGCAGGAAAAAACAATTTTCAGTAATTTTCATTTTTTGAAGCTGAATGAAATCGGATAATTTTGAGCGATGTCTCATTTGAAAGAGCGTGTAAAACTACATCGAATGATATAAATAACGTTTCCGGACTATAATTTTTTTCACAAATGTTTTTAGTATTTTTGTTTTTTTTATTGCCGCTTTAAAGTTAACAAAAAATTTGATTACTGAATCCTGTAGAGCATTTAATTCTGTACAAGATGATGCATTCTTCGACGCTTCAAAAGGGGTGTGGGGGGGGAGGCAACAGGTCGAAAATTTGGAAAAAAATTTAGCAGGTAGCCATGTTAAAGAAATAGTGTCGCCTTCACTAGTCTTCATTTTACGAGATCCGTTTCAGATTTCATTTGAATATTGATCAGGGTATCTGGTTTAGTCTTTCTGTCAAGTAAAAGCTTGGAAATTTTACTCTTCGATTTTTCGTGCCTGGGTCCCTCTCACACCCCACACATAGAGTTCGGCGGTTCCAAAAAAATGGAACCAAAACCGTGTCGGAGCTGGCTTCTTGGAACCAAGAACTGAACTAGACTCGCTTTTTTCTCATTTTTGCTACTCGGAGTTACGATTCCGGGTAATTTTTGGAACTGCCGAACTCTACACCCACATCCCATCCGAGTCGATTGATCCTGATACGAAGCCTTTGTTAGGTGGTTGAAAATGCCATAAAAATATGAATTTCATTCAATGAAATATATTTGAATAGACTATTATTCGTCATTAGTCCATAGAAATAACTTGAATGGCTTCCGGGCGGTAGATGCGTCTCAACAGTTCCTTTGAAGAAAACGAATTCGGCAACACAGAGAATGCGTGTTCAACTGAATCAAGAAAATCGCGGTCACTGAAATCCGAATGTCAGCACCAACAGTGTGTTCTATAGCGAGGAATCACACAGAAAAGCAGTATTGATTAAAGGTGACTTCCCGTCTTCCATTCATGTGTACCGATTCGATAAAATAAACACTACGCATGATCTTCATCGATTTCTGTTTATACTTGCTTGCAATCGTAGGTTGATAGAAAACCAATCGTAAGCTTCATGTGAGATTTTATTATATTTCGAGGAGACCGAGTTTGAGATCAAACAACGTAGAAAAACGGCTAATTCACTATATATATTCTGCCGACAGATGTGTTTCTATTTTGTGTGACAGAAAGTCTTTGAAGATCATAAACATGTATCGTGAATAGTCAACTCACAAGCTTATGTTTTTCCATCTTGAACAGTCTTTCTAGATTTCCTTTCAATCGTCTTCGAAACGACGATTTTCAAGAATACACTAACTGAGATTATTAGAAACCAAAAAGGATCTGTGAAACTTCATAATTTTCTACGGAGGAAAAACATTGAAAAATGACTGAATCAATGAGGATGTGGGTGTGAATGAAAAGAAGATCTCTATGCAGCAACCTGCCCACATCATTCCTCATATCCACCCGCTCATCCGCCATATCGTCACAAATAAAGAAGGATTGTTCTCTTGTTGGGTGAGTTGCAAAGGAATAAACTCAAAAATTCCATTGCCAGTATTCATTTTTTTCACGGGGTGTTAAAAATTATCCTATTTTTTAGCCGGTCAAAACAAATCAATGACATCGGGTTGTTCAGATGTTTGATCGAATAGACGAGATACCGCTTTCAAATTAAATGGAAATTTCAATATCGAATCACATTCACCATTCATTAAAGCAAAAAACAAAAACGCGTATTTTCGACGAACATTACTATCGTTATACAAGCGCAAATGAACGTGCATCCTATTCCGTATTGGCGACAAATAAAATCGGTAGGAATAGATTGTTGCGGATGGGTATGGGTGTGGATGTGCTCGTAATTCACTCACACTTATGCCCACACTCAATAAGTACAAATTAGAAAATATAAAACCTAGTCGGTAGACGTCGATCAATGTCAGCCAATAAACTGAAGCATAACTGAATACAGTAAGACTAAGACCCAGCCAGATGTATCTAAGATGTGTACACTATTTTATAAGATTGCAAACGGTTTTTCTTTCATTTGTCCGCTAGGTTTTGCGAATATAACATCGAAAATTACAATTTTTATAACATTCAACTCTTTTTTCTTGCTTAGATGAAGGCTCTCATGTATTTTTTTTTCGTTCAGAAAAGATTCCAAATTTCAAGTTTTAAAGATAACAAATATTGATAATAGAACTGAATGCGTGATTTTGCCCATGTTCTACAAAACTTTCATGACTGATAGAGACGGAAGAGTGAAAATGATAAGCTTCAGCAGATAATTTTGAAAGAAAAAGGAAGGCAATTTTTTAACTTTTATTAGATAAGTTTGGCATCATATTAGCGTCAATAGAGGTCACTCTATTACCTCTAACTGTTTTTATTACTTACTGTTGATTTCTTTCTTTCACCTCTAGTTGTTCTTGCTGCACTTCCACTGATTCATACCGATGGTTACTTTTTTTTCTCTGTAGTTGTTGTTATTGATTTTCCTTCTTCTTCCTCTCTTCTTTCATTATTATAGTTTTCAATTTAATTTTATTAATAAAATCTCATCATCAACATTAATACATAGTAAGTGTGCTATCATTTTAAAGTAAAATTTCTCATTCCTTTAGCAGACCGAGGTATAGATTTAATCGTCCTTCAGGCTACATCTTAGTGTGGGGAGTAGCATTTGTTAATGAGGTTGATTGAGAGTCTCACACATTAGCAATAAACATCATCGATCGTAAATTCTTGTTAAGCCCAGTGGGATCATGGTGTGCCATTAGTTTTCACACTGGATTCATTGCAATCTGAAGTGTTTTTCGAACTGCCAAGTCCAAATATGCCGAATCATGGTGGATCTGCCCTTATTCGATTGTGCTAGTCAAAATCTACAGGATTCCAAGATATAAGCACGGGCGTTCGTTGGTGCGGATCTTTCCTGTTTTTCAAAGTTTTGTTGTGATTTTCGCGTATTCTATCGTAGTGCTTGGAAATATCTTTGAGATTTTCTTTGATAGCTTTTTAGAAAGATATACTACCATTCAATAGAACTTGTCTAATTAAATTTGGAGTACATATGACTTCAGCTGACAAAGCGCTCACCAGTCTATTCATCCATTCAAACTTTGTGATGAAAATTAAAAATCATCAGCGAACGCACTTTTTTTTATTTCTGCAGGTGAAGTGGAGCTCATCAATCAAGCATTCGTAGAATTTCTTACACATGATTTGATCTAAAGACAAGCTAAACCAGCGCTTACACTGACTCTATTTCACAATGTTGGATATTGTATAAATAAGCACAACTTATTAGTTGCAACGTTTGTTTCTTGCATTTTTATTTCTTTTTGTTGCTGATGGCGATAAGACATTCGTCATGTGATTGCACAACGTCAAGAGAAAAAAAAACAAGACAGGAAAAATAAATAAATAAAGTCGACATAGAACATTTTCTGCAGTGAGTAGTGTGTATTGAGTGAATACAGACCTTTTCCAGTTTTCTTTTCCATTAACATTTCTACCAAGCTCATAAGAACTTCGATAGGTATATACACACGAATAAGAATTCATTGACAGATATCGTGCTCCTAATTACGTTTGGCATGCAAAATTTGATCTAATGTGAAATGCTTTAAGAGTTCTGTTCACGGAACAGGTTGTGTGTATCAATAAATGAGATGATAACGTTTCTCTAGCCCAATATGAAAACCAATAGGTAGTGTGTTTAGAGTATTAATGATCCCTTCAAGTAGAAAGCATCTTCGTAAGATCTTTTTACGATTCGAATGTCGTGTGAACTTGCGTCATCATCCAGAAAAAAATAGAACTGAAATCTGGATATTGTTAAATTTTAGTTGCAATTGTCACGAAGAAATATTTTTGAAATGAGTTTAAGCTCGTATTATAGAACAATGGATAGCATATGAGTGACACCATGAAATGTTGAAGATTGAAATTGATTTTATCTAGTCAAAATTAGTATAGATGTTTGTATGTAGTTAGAGAATACACTTATGTTATCGAAGTAATACGCTTATCTGATCAGATTAAAAAGGAATAGTTGTGATTATGCAAGTGCTGATATAGTTGATGGAGTAGAACGCACCGGAACATCTGAACAATACCAGCATTATTATCTCAATCGCAATATATTGACATGTGTTTAACAGAATAGCTACCCAATTTGACTTACAATATAAATGACACCCAAAAAAAATCAAAAACATTCCGTATTTGGAAAATAATTAAAACAAATTTTTCTTCATTTATTTATTCTGACAGAATTGATAAATGACGACGACTCATCTCGTGTTTTACAAAGCAAGAAATTTGATATGTATACCAACAGTTTTCTATAAAATGTGTTTGATATGAACTTTTAGTGGTTTTTTGAAAAGAATCTTCAGGATTGCTAAACTCTTTTTTTCTGCAATTTTAATAGAATAGATACGTACATAGTTGCTGATCGATCTGATGCAGCATAAGAAAGAAGAAATTCTTTAGTCTTACAAAGAAGTGATTTCACTAATTTTGTGTCATTATCTATTTATAGCGTCACCATGAAGATATATATTAAAACATATATTGGAACCGAACGAATTTTCCAATTTGACGTCGAGCCTTCTACCACAATTAAGCAGCTAAAACAGCTGATTTGTAAAAAAGTTAATATTAATGAGATAGATTCACAAAAAGTGTATTTCACTTGTGACGGTGATACACTCAACATCGATGAGGAAACACTGACATCTTATGGTGTAGAAGAACAATCTCGACTAGAACTCGCTGAATCCAGTGAGGATAGCTTTCGTGATCCAGGTGTCCTAGGTGGTTTCGGAACGAAATTTATCGATGTCAGCAATACTAAAGGATTAAAACGATGTGAATGGGCTAAAAAAGCTTCAGCATGGCGAGTAGTACGGGGCGGTTTGGTTTTTGAGGGTAAATGTACAAATTCGGAATGCCTGGCAAACAACAATATGGTTGCTATATCAATGGGTTACCGAAAGTTCGATGTTGTATGCGACATTGATATTGCTAAAACTGTATGCCCGATATGCAAACAATATGTTCAGCCAACAACCTGTGGTTTCAACAATTGTTGGTGGAGATTCGAGGGTATAAAACGAGACGGGGAGGGAAAACCACCACAACTTTGCAAAAGCGCGTGGAAACAAGCTGATAATGCATATCATTATTTTGATCAAGAAATAAGTGGAATGGTTACATGGCTGCGACTCACACTCGAAGTGGTCAAAAGTATTCCTTCATGATGAATTTGTATATTCTTGTTCACCACTTAATTCATTACTACTGCTTGTTTGAATATTGAAGATTTTTGTCTTCGATCCCAACAAAACAAGCCATATTGTTTTTCTTTTACAGCAGAACTTTTTCATCAATATTTGTTTTATAAAATAAACATGAGTAATTACATGATGAAACGAAAAAAAAATCAAAATTTAGTATTTCTATGGTTTTGATTTAGTTGCTACTATTTGAGAATGTACAATAGACGAACAAATTCTTAAGGCTCTTCATTTCACCTATACTCACTCACGCATCTGTCGACATCCAAAATATAGTCAGTGTTTCCTTACCACTGAAAAGTTCTAAACAGCATATCTTTCTTGTTGTCGACTTTTGCTCTATACAACTTTCCAATTCGGAACTTGCAAGTGTTATCATTATCCAAAGATCTACAAAAAAAAGTACCTTAGGTGTGGGCCCTCTCTTCTCTCAGCCAAACAGAACTACTCACCGACGATCGCATCTACATCTTGATCTCTGAAGTCTTTAAAAAAGAGTCTCAAAAATTAAACAATATTGTACTGAAGCTGGAAATGTTTGAAAGAACTTGTGATAATGACATGTTCAGACGTCTCATGAGTTTCTCATTTCTCAGAAACTTTTAGGATTTTCTAGAGCGCTTACTATGTGAAATGACTATTGAATGCTCCACATTCGGACCTACTTTAATACATTAAAATGGTTTCTAAAATTTCCCGACATCAATCAAGAAATCTATTTTGAAATACGAACGTCGGAATACCTTTTTTTATCAGTGTTCTATAAAACGATTTTTCTTCATGAGATTAGGTAACTTCTCATATTCTTAGTTGGAGATGACACCAGATTATTATTTTAAAATTTGAGCTTTTTTTTTTTTTACAAAAGTATGTACAAATTGATTGACTTTATTTATTTATGTATTTATTGTTGTTAAAAATCGATAAAATCAATCTGCTCTTCATAGAGCGTCTCATATCGCGTATCTATGTAACTTTTAACAGAAAATTCCTAAAAATTTAACTGAAAGTATTTGATCGACTTCCTAAATGTCATGACGTGATGCCATTTAAACGATATGCAAGGTCTTTGACAAAAAACAAAGCCTCTTATCAGTATAAACCAAAATGATACTTCAGAAATCATTAAAACCACGATGGAGAGAATCTTTGAGTTAAAATGTTGAAATCCAATGAATTTTGATGTTTTACAAACTGAGCACATCTTTTCAAGACAAGAACACTATTTTTTACTTACTTTCTATTGTTTCTATACAACGAAACAGGGCGTAATCTTATTGGTTGTTAAATTGTTTGCCGTGGCTGTATTATATAAAAAAACTAGAAGTTGATAAATCAGGCCAGTTCATATCAACATATCTCCCTATTTTAATTGTGTTGTAAATTGAACTAAAATATACATTCGCTCTAAAGATGCGCACGATTAGAATGCTATTAAATATACAGCGAGAGCACAAATACCAGGGTAAAAATGAATTGTCGACTAAAGCTTTTCAGTTATTCTCTTAGTGAACATTCCTTTAGTAATGTATGTTGGGAAAAGTAAAACATGAGTCAGCAGTAACATGCAATTTTTTGTAACTCTTTTCCATTTTCGTGTACTACAAATCAATATAAACCAAGGGAGAAATAACTGACTTTTATGACTTTAAAGTCATTTAGATCGCGAAAGTCATTCAAAGTTATCAATAACTCAGAATATTTGAAAGAGGATGTCAGTCAATATTCATCTAGAATCTGTTCACATATAAACATATCAATATACGTCTTCGAGGATGGTACGAAAACAATGATTTTACCAAAATACGCATGGAATATACCTATTGTCCATTTCAAAAAAGGCAAACGGGTATTTTTCGAATAACTTTTGATAGGAGCAAGGTAGTAAGTTGCGATTTTCACCATTAGAAAGAGGAGATTCAGGCCCATCAACATATGCTAAAATCTGAATAGTCAACAATGGACCAATCGGATGAATTTTCGAGGAATATGTTGAGCACGATACTTTGGATCCATTTCGCAACTTGGCTCAATTGTTAATTTACATTTCTGGTAGAAAAATTGTTCTCTTTCGATCTACGCATTATCCACCTTTCTAGCTTGTTCGGTTCAAGAGATACAAGAGTTTTCCTGAGACCCCTGATTTCAGCCAATTAACCATGGATCATGCAAAAAACATTCTGGAATAGGGTAATTCACAAAGGGGAAACAACTGACTTTATGACTTAAATAATTTAAATGACTTTTTTTGACTTAAATGATCTAGAAGATCGAAAATTATTATTGTTTTTCATCATGTATCTTGCTTTACATCCCATTACTACTTGAGATTTCTACATGTTACAATGAGAAATAGCGAAAGCAGTCGTGGAGCCAAGATCCTTAGCATCTCGTGCAAAGGGGAAGCAACTAACTTTAGGACTTCAATGATTTTTATGATTTTATGACTTAAATGATTTGAAAGATTGAAAATCTCCATAGTCTATCTTCTTATATTTCGATTTGGATATCTTTATATTTCGATAATTCGATTTCCACGATTTCCCTAACTTATAATATGCTAGGAGATATCCAAGAGAACACCCATCCCCGTTTTATGTTGGCTCATCGCTTTTAGCTTAATTGTTCAGCTGAACAACGCATAGACCAACTAGTCTACTATTCGATTTGTTTCATAATATGTCTATCTTATCGCCGCCTCTCGTAATATGTCGTTCTTGATTAGAAAGCAACGTGATCGTCAATAATCACATTTGATCTCAGGTTCTGCATCCACATGATATTGATGTGGACAATAATGAAAATACAATTTATAATTAAACGAACTTTCAACTTTCTATCAAAAAGTAAATGAATAAATATTATTAGGGAATCTGATGATCAAAATCACATGAGAAAACTAGAAATGAAAAAAGCGACGAATATTTTCAAACTGAAAATATTGAAAAGTTTGTACTAGATCCAATGGGCCTTCAAATTCATTTTTACTCATCGCTCAACCTCTCCCAGAAACCTAAATTCACCATTGTTCGTGGCCATATCCTGTGGGTCAAGTGTTAGGACTCCTTTGGTAAATTTCATGCGTATCCGTAGATATATTAATGGAGAATGTTGGATTGTGAATTTGACGTCTGTAATTTTGTTTTTATACAAGTCTGGAGATTCATATAGATCCCTAAAAGTATTAACTGCAACTTTAATGTTCTTTTGTTGTGATGTTGGATCTTCAAAGCCTAATCTTTTGTTAACGACCTCGCACGCAAACCGAGTTTACATGAATACTCACTATCTTGATAAAGTAATATTGCTGTTAGCTAAAACTTTTAGAGTATTATCAAGTCTATGAAACGTATCTTAGACAAAAATCTCAGACCTCAATTTTTGCAATTCAATATTTCACCGAATACACCAGAATCCCACTAAAACAATCATAATTCTTGGTGTATAGATTACGATCGCATATCTTATTAGGACTTTCTTAGGCTCATTGAGTTCTCCCCTAGCTAGAATATAAGATCGAACGGCGTCCAGTACTTGGATTTGATTCCTTATATGTCAATTATATTCATGCCATTCAGTTTCTGTAGAATATGAGTTTTTCACAGAGTTTCTTTGAATATACACTATTCTGTGAGGATGACACGCATTTAGAGTGAATATACGAATTAGAATCCGAAAAACAATAATGCTTGATTATTTTTCATACTCGTCGATTGTCACGTCGACAATTTTTTGAGTTTCAAAAATATCCTGCGTGTAATAATGGACCAGATTGCGTTGTAATTTCGATTTTAAGCATTGAGGACCTTCGTGTTTATGAATGTCGATAACAACTAGACCATGGAAAATTATTTCCCTGTTTCATTAGTCTAAAGGAGACTTGACAGCCACAGTGAACATAAACAGAATCCAAGAGGAAAACAACTGACTTTTATGATTTTAAAATCATTGAGATCACATAGATCATTTAGATCATTTAAGTCATAAAGTCAGTTGTTTTCCCCTTGATTTTATCTCAATATGCCATTATAGTCGACAGTTTGTTTTATCAGGCTTCTGAATGAGGATTGCTGAAACGATTCCACAGACAATATAATTTATAGAAAACAAACACGTCTAATGTGGTCGATGAAATTAGAATGTAATCAGTTATGCCTCTCAAATATAAATCTTATTTATGTTTACTTTTTTATATTTCACTTTTTACAAAAACGAACAACTACATATAGAACAATAATAAGCGTGAACAAAGATTCAAAAGCAAGAAAAATGCATGACATAAGACTAAACGAAAATAGAAACACAATTATATAAATAGCGGCGGAAAGTTTTATCATTGACTTTGAACAAGATATAGATTAGAAGAGATCATGATTTATCAGATATTTTCAAGTAACTCTTAAAACAACTGTCTAAGATCAAGGGTTGAATTTTCAAATAATTGATCATTTGGTTGTTTGACATCAGATGGTGCTTTCGAGTCGCTCTCTCGATTCAATCAAATAATTTCTAAGTGATTTTTATCTCGTTGTACTCATCGTTTACATTTAATTTGTTAATATTAAAAGAATAATTCTTATTACACTGATGATGACCAAAAAAAATAGTATGATCGATAATAATTATCATTACCTTTACTGTTAGCCTGAATGTCGAATGATTCATTATAATAAGATCAAACAAAAGAACATTCTATTGCACAAACAAATTTATTTATACAATATGAAGATGGAAAATATTTTTTCAAAATTTAAAATAAATTCTAATAGTTTTTTAAAAGCCAATAGAGGTATATTCTAGACACGATGTAGATCTAGCATATATTTGATAATAATTTATTAGTTGATCTTAGTGAATATCTAACATTCATTCATTGATATTGATTACATGTCACTTGTGAAACATTCTCTTAATCTGAAAATAAGAAAAAATTTCTCACATATTGAATAGCAAGAAAAAAACATAAATTTATACATTTTTATAGCCATATATATGGTATTTACCTGCAATTAATCTTGTCATGAAATGACAGATTTCAGTAGCTAAAAACAAGCACAACTAAAATGCTATCAAATAATGTCGAAATAAATCAAAAAACAAAAGATATGTCAGCGTACTGTTATATAAAAAAAAGTGTATCGACTATCACAAGGTTCGATAAAGTAGTATAAACATTTGTTGTTTTTATAATACTTCTCTTTATATGTGAAAAATATTCATTCGTATGTTTCTGAATAGATATAATTGTTCTTGTATGTGCATATATATATTGTACACTTCCATGCTTGATTGGTTTCACGATGTGTTGATATTTAAATGTAAGAAGTCATAATGAATAAATAAGATAATGGCTGACAGTCAACACGTAGCAGTTGAATTACCGGAACATCAATATTTAAATGAAACAAATGAAAAGTCATTAAATGTTTCGACAACAGATCAAACACAAACTCCACCAACAACGGATCATACTGATTTAATTGGGACATTAATTGCTTTGATTATCGTTGCTGTTATACCAAGTAAATATAAGAATATATTCAATAGTATTTTACAATTAACAACTGATTTTTGTTCGTCTCTTTTTTTTTTTTTTACAGTTCTTCAAATATATATTGGACGTCGATATACAGATAATTGTCCACTTGATTGGCATATACCATTTTATTTAGTTGTAGCAGGTGTGGTTGGAATTACTGTTATACTGTTAGGTATTATTCAAGCTGTTCTAAAAGCTAAAGTTTTTTTAAATCGTGCTAGAGAAAAATCTAACGTCTCCCTTACTGTTAGTGTTGTGTGTGTTGCATGTTTTGCAACCATCCTTTTTCTCTTTCTCTTCATTTGGTTTGTTTTTGGATGTTATTGGGTATTTCGTTCATGGAATATTGTACAATATGTTGATGCAAATCGAAACGATTATTGTCATCGTATTCTATATCGTTTTGCATTTTGGTTACTTTTAGGCGCCTTCTTTTCCCAAATTTTAGCATGTGGTTATTCATATTTGAAAGTACATTTTGGATTAATGAAATTGAGAGATGCTAAAACACCACGACACACTACAAAATCTTGAAGAATTCGGTTATTATTTGTAATTGACTTCTTTTTTGTTTTGTTTTGAATAAACAGTAAATATTATTATACTTTTATTCTCATTTAAAATCAAATAAAGAAACTGATGATAAAACTGCATAAATATTTTCTTTTTTAGATCGATCCTTTTAGACAGATTGTATCTTGAAATTCTTACTCTTTCGTCTTTTCTAAAATTGTAAAAGCAATTGAATATTAATTATATTCGAAGAATATTTCCTGATATATTTGTTCGATGAGAAAATGATTCATACAGTTCACCGAATGTATTGAACTAATAAAAGACTTTATTTGTTTAAATATGTTTGTCAAACGAAGATGAATATCTATTTTAATTGACATTAGATATTTATCAAGTATTCTATATTTGATTTTCATATAGATTCAAAAACGAAATATTAGTAAAGGAAATGAATGAAAAAACAATGTTATTGCTAGTTTTCCGAACAGAACTGATATAAACATATATACAGTTAATTTTCATTTCTTTCTGTCTATTCATTTTTTCTTTTCTTTATCATTCTCGCCATTTGAATATATGAAATGTCTTCATCACCAACGGAAGATTTACTCGATCGAATCGATCGTTTACATTTAATGCTTGTCAGTGAATTACCCACTTTATCATTAACTAATTCACAACATCCAACTTCAATTCTTTCTCGAATTACAATAAATTCTGCTGATCGTTTATCAATTATTAATACTACACACACTGCACAACATACTACGTTTAAATCAGAAGCAATTATAATCGATGAACTTCAACAATATATTAAAAAAATGGAACGAGAACGAGAAATACTTCTTCGATCTTATAGTATTATTCTTCAACTTTTAAAACATAATAATCCCGATAATAAAATAAATTTACTTAACTATGATTATTCTGAACTTTTACATAATGATTAAATTTTAATTTTTATCACAAAAATAAATAAAATTTCTATTCAAGGCGTAGATTTTTCTAATGATTAACTATCTTTTTTTCTGTATAATTAACCATGTGCAACACAATCAAAATCACTGAAAAAGTCTGAATATCAAGCATTTTTTTTAGTTCTTTAAGCTATTCATAATTACTACACATACGATTATTAGTACAATATTCAAAAGAAAAACGTGAAAAAAAAACGAAAGATGCAATATATTAATTGTCATCGCAGAAATTCACTCGTCGCCAAAATGTCAGCACATATAAATGTATATGACGTTGATTATGCAAAGATGAAAATGAAGAGAAAAAAAAATGAAAGAAAAAAAGTTATGAAGTACAAAATACGAAAGAGTTTATTATGCTTTTTTGTATAAGCGACACAAGAATCGATTATTGTATAAAACCAGAATATTTTTAGGCATTGCTCTTTTTGTTTATTTTCATAGGTAGACTTTTTTAAATATTCTAAGATGATGACAACTAATACTGAACCAATAGTTATTAATGTGAAATCAACACCAGCAGTAGCAAATACTGTTGTTATCGATGAGCCAATGGATTCACCACCAACACCAGTAGAAAACGTTGCTGTAACAGATGCAACAACTTCAAAACCAGTAGAAATAGATAATCTTATCATCAACGATGGTAAAAATGAGAAAACCACAGAATCAGATACATTACCGTCCAGTGGTGTTAGTAAAAAGGCATTAAATAGAAAACCTTTTGGATCAGCTATATCACTTGTTACTGTTGTTATAGCTATCATTCCATGTAAGTCACATGTCTTTCTTTGATTAATATCCTAATAATATTTTACAAAAAAAAATTGGATCCTATATTTTAATATCTTTAAATTAAGAAGACTTCTAACTATACTTATTATTGATTTTCTAACATGAGACATAAAAAATAGAAAAAATTATGATTTGAATATTTAATCGTATTTTGCAGTTTTACAATTAGTTATTGGTTGGCGTTATGCAGACAAATGTCCTTTTAATTGGCATATACCGCATTATTTAGTTGTATCAGGCATTGTTGGACTTACTGTTATTATATTAAATATTGTTTTTGATCTTTTGACATCATATGCTAAATCAAAGTTAGATGATACTACTATTCGAGCTTCTCATTTTGGAGCTTGTTGTGGTATTTGTGGTCTTTTAGTAGTTATTGTCGGTCTTATCGTATTTTTTGCTGGTTGGTCTATTACTGGATGTATTTGGATATTTCGTGCATGGAATAAAATTCAATATGAAAATGCAGATCGATCTGATTATTGTCATCCGACATTATATCGTTTTGCATATTGGCTATTTTTCCTATCAATCATATACATATTAATCTTCTGCTGTCGTACGTGTGCTCAAACATCTAAACAAATACCTAATAAGAAAAAAGGTCCTGCTATAGCTGTACTAACAACGGAAGCATAATTAAGACTTATTAAACTTTCATGAAAACGTTTGTTTTTTTTTTCTTTATTATAAATAACTTTATCATGTTTGATAGACACAATTATTCATATTCTCTCAACTATATCAGTAGAGCAAATATCACAAAAAAAAACAAGAATCTATACCGAAACTTTATGTACACAAGAAAAAAAAAGTAAAAACATTATATATAATTTGTCTTACTCATTTCATTTTAATATCTCTGTATAAAATATAATTGATCAATTGACGTGATATAGACAACTTAAAAATATTTTTTCGTTTAATGCCACAATAAGTATTTATTGCTAATCGACATAAACATTTTAAAGAAGATGGCTGACTTGTGAATAATGTTGAAAGTGTTGAATAAAGATGTACTTCACCATTACGATTACTAACAGCCATAGTGTGACCGTCAGGTGTTGTTGCAACACAAAGAACATTGCTTTGTGTTTGTTCAAATATCGTATTTGATGAACGATCTAATACTAAAGGAAACCAACGTACTTTGCTGAAAAGATGAAAATTACTTTTTTCTTAAACATTTATCTTAAATTCTTACTTATCATCACAAGCAGTAATTAGAAAATGATTTGATTTTGTAATAGCAACAGATCGAACAAATGCTCCATTATCACCACCAGCATAGATTTTTAACGGTATTGGAATTTGATGTGCAAATGCTTTTATAATTTCACCAGTTACTGTTGACCACATTAAAACACGTGTATCATAAGAAGCAGTTACTAATAAGGCACTGAATCAAAGGAAAAATAAGAAGAAATAAGAAAAAAAAATACATTAAATAATACCTATCCGATGAAAACGCACAATCAACAACACTATGTAAATGTCCATCCAATTCAAATATTTCTGTCCATGTTGCTGTATCAAATAATACAACTAGTTCATATGGACCTACAGCACATAAAAGTGTTTCATCTGGTGACCATTTAACTGCATTGATCACATGAGTCCATTCATTTAATGTTTTATACATATTGCCTGAGATTAGAAAATAAAAAAGAGATTGAGACAGATGTCACTGTTGAAGCAATTTTAAACAACAGGTAAAATGAATACCGTCTTTTTACCAAAAAAGTAAATAAATAAAAAGAATAAAAAAGAATAATATAACTTGGAAACTAACCATTTCAAAGATCTTTTTAAGGTGAGATCAAAGTTCAATTTTAATTGAGGAATAATTGGTATAGTTAGTGATTATTAAGGATTTTAATGATGTAAATAAGCAAGTTGAACATTTATTGTACTGGTGAAATTTTTTCTGACTAAGATATGCACTAGGTAATAATCGAAATTTTTTATTCGTATAAATTTTGATCATTGTAGACTATTTTCTTCTCTTCAAAAACAAAAGTTAAAATCGCCGAATGTTTTTCTCTCCAAGTAAAACAACAATTCTTTTGCATTGCGATACTATAACTTGTAGTAACAGATTATAAATTCTTATTTCGAAATACACATGAAAAGTTAATATCATAAATCAATTTTTTTTCGACGAAATCGAAGACCGCTAAGAAAAAGCTCTACATTTTTTCATTGATAATAAACTTGAGTAAGAAAAAAACAAACGAGAAGACTTTCCAACATTTAATATTTACTATATTAGGTATTTTTTTCCTCTTACCATCATCAAGTAAATTCCATAATTTAATAGTTGTATCATGTGAGCATGATGCTAATTGCATAGTACACGATGTAAAATCTAATCCAACTACAGCTAATTGATGATCTTGAAGTATTAATGTCAATTCTCCAGTATCAATATTCCAAATATTTATTTTTCCATCGGCAAGACCAGCAGCTAGAAATAAATTTTTTGTAAAATTATATCGACGATTAACAACTGATAAACTTGAACGACGTCGACCAGGTGAATCATGTCTTGTTGTTGGCATAGATAAAAAATATTTATCACGTAAAATTGAATTCGTTATAGAATTTAGTTTTGATGTTCTTTGACCAAATGCTAATGACCATATTGCTGATGTACAAGTAAATTGATTGTGCATACACAAATCACTATCTGTAACATTTTTTGAATGCCAATTCGAACAATGAATAACAAGTACACAATATTGACCATCAATATGTTGTTTTGGTATAGCCAAATATTTAGAACATGGTGAAAATGCTATTTTCCGTACATTATTTATTAAAAAAGTAGGTGGATTACAATAGTCTTCTAATAATTGATCCACGGGTAATATACTAGGTTGTACTATTTAAATAGAATATAATTGAAAAATATTGATATATAAAATCATACCTGATAACGGGTTAGACATAGATTTTAAAAAAATGCACAAATCTTCAATGAAAAAGACGAATCAATAGCAGATCTGCAATGAAAAAAAAGCTCGTAAAACACGAAACAGGTGACACCTTTCGAAACGAGAAAAATCGAAAATAAAAACATATTATCTATTGCTTAGCGTTTTTTTTTCTTTCGTCCTCGTCGTCGTTGTAATATTTTATTTTGGAAGTAGTACGTGTTTATTTTTAGATAGCATATCATGTCTCATCTATTTAGTATGCAACGATTATTTGCACTTCTTCTCATCGTCTTCATTACTAATAGCGATGGTGATTCCGGTGATTTTCGTCCTCCAGCTGTACCGTTAATCGTGTTTAGTCCTCATATATCGGGTGAGTCACACTCGAATATTATTCAAGATACAAAAAAAAACGCAAAAGTGTGTGTGTGTGTGTGTGTGTCACTACAGAACTGTCAGAAGAAATTATCTCACCACAGACATTTTTATAAATTCATTGATTCCTATAATCACAATGTCCGATACTATCATTTTTACAATTTGAAACAAGTAAAAACAACACTCAATTGATGTATTGAGTCAAGTGTAATGTAGACAAGTGTAATCTTTGATTGTTCGATAAAATTGTCCGTCTGTTCTTTTTGAAATGCCATGTGAGTCATGATTACAGTTTTGTTCCTAATAAATATTAATGCACAACGAAAGAGGAAGAAAGTACTATATTGAGAACATTCAACTAAACAGATGCCGCAAGAACTCACAATAACTTTATTCATTTTGTTTTCTAAATAGATCTAGTGTATTATATAAACAGAAAATTTATAATAATAAAATAATAGAATCATCGTTGAAAGACAAACAACAAATATCTTTTACAATGCTAACAAATTTCTTCACAGACTTAATGGAATAATCTGACAAGAAAATATTATTAGATTTCGATTACGGTTCGATTTTATATTATGGTTTAGAGATAGGTCCGGTTCGGATTTTCTTTTTTCAAATTAAGTCGAGGAAATCTCAAACTGAATCGATTCCATCTCCATTATGAATAAAAGTAAAGTTCGATGAGCTAAAAGAATCCAATGACAAATATCGTTCTTGGCAAAAGTAGCAGTTCACCTCCATGAAGTGATACGAATCTTTATGATATTGAACTGATATTTTGGGTGTATGCATACGATAACAAACCCCGATCGCAAGCATCAATTCGCCGTCGATCAGCTCAAAAAACATATTCAACGAAAATATGTGCTCAAAAAGTTTTTTAATTGTCATTTTGTTATTCATACATAGTCAAGATCTTAGTAATTAGCACGCTCTAAGATAGCGAAACCATGTCATAGCACTAATTCGACTTCTTTTAGTTCTGTAGCTCTAAAAATTTCATAACAAACTTGTTGTCTCATAGTAACTTTCTAATGGAATTTTCAAAGAGAATCTATCAAAGTCACTGTGGAAAAGATTTATCTTACTAAAAGCCAGCATTTACTCTTCAATAGATATTCCTAATGAGAAGAGAATATCTGAGTTGTTTTAAAGTGATTTCTAACGAAATTTGGATTACAGATAGTTACGACAGTGGGTTTTCGAATGAGGACTTCGACAAAAATATTTGTGCCAGCATGGTTCAAATAAGATCATTACAAAAAGAAAATGACATGTGAATCATAAATTTAATAGAAGCAAAACAATGGAGAATACGTTGTTGCTTGCGATCAGAATGTGTTGTCTTACACATGCGCCCACAATATCAATTCAATATCATAAAAAATAATAGCACTTCATGAAGGACAACTACTTTTGTCTAGGATTGTATCTGTTTGTTTTTTGAAAAAAGACATATATGTAAAAAGAAAATTTCGAATTATTGTAATTATAATTAAATCTATCTATTATGTGAGCTTCTTTTATTGCAATTTTTCAAATATATATTGTTATAGATAAAAATGAAATCAAACAGTATCTGATTGTGATCAATGTTCTCTCATGAATAGTCATGTTAACAATAAAGCTTCATTGAATAAAAAGAAACAATCTTTTTATTATGCAATGAATGCATAAAATTTCAATGTTTTAGAATATTAATTTCCTACACTTTATTAAATATTCTTTTTCTATTTGAATATAGTTTGGTCTTGTTCGGACAATCTTACCGATTCTGATACTGTTCATTGGAGTGGATCATCTCTTGTCTTTCGCGGATTAATTGATATTGACAATGCTCAAACATATCGTTTTCTTGGTACTCAACCATCAAATATTCCAGCTTTAATACAAAATAGTGTTGTTGTACAACCATGGCGTACAATTTATACATTTTCTACACCAACAAATACATTGGAACTTGTTTTATCATTTAGTCAACCAACATCAATTGAAGATCCTTATACTTATATAACATTTGATGTTCGTACACTTGATAAAAAAATTCATAATGTTCGAATCTATTTTGAAGAAGGTCCAATGTTAGGTATAAATGATAAAAATGAAAAAATTTATTGGAATCGAATTGATGGAGACATAACTATATTAACAATGAATAGTTATAATCAAATTCCATTTGGTATACGTGGTGATGCAACACGAAATAATTGGGGTTATGCTCATTTAATAAGTGCAAATAAAAGTACAACAAATGGTTATCAAGGTTTTGGTGATAATCTTCGTCAAGCATTTGTTAATCATCAAATAATGCCAAATGATGATACACGAAAACCACGTCCTGCTGATGATCAATCACCATCATCAGTATTTATTATTAATTTAGATCAAGTTTCATCAAATTCAATTTCATCATATTTAATATTTCTTTATGATGATCTTTATTCAATGTTATATTTTGAAGATTGGCAAATACCATGTTGGCGTGCTGAACTTGATAATAATGTTATTTTACTTATAAATGAAGCTGTTGAATATTATCATTCAAATATGGCTGATATTACAGATTCAAATGAATTATTAATAACATTATTAACAAATACAGGTGGTGCACAATATTCATTAATGGCTTCACTTGTAACAAGACAAATAACAGGTGCACTAACACGTACATGGTCGAATAAACATAATCGTCCAGAATTATATATGAAAGAAGTTTCATCTGGTGGTGATATTAGTACAGTAGATGTTATTTTTCCAGCATCACCATTTTTTCTTTGGTTACATCCAGAAATGTTACGTGATGTTCTTATACCGGTACTTGCTTATGCTAATAATGAAACAAATATTGATTATAATCTAGCATGGGCACCTCATCATTTGTGAGTAAAAATTTAACTTTTGTTTTTTTTAATTGAAAAAAATGTATCGTTTTTTTTTCAGAGGAACATGGCCAGTCTGTGATATTTTACCTGATGAACAAGAGCAAATGCCTATGGAAGAATCAGCAAATATGTTATTAATGCTTGCTGGTATTGTACAAAGACTTCAGAAAACTGATTTTCTTCAACCATATTGGAACGTTATGGAAATTTGGGCACAATATCTTAATAGTACATTACCAGATCCAGGAAATCAACTTTGTACAGATGATTTCGTATGTTATCTTCGTTTAATTTTTATAAACAAAACAAAAGTTTTAAATCATTCTTTTGATTTAGGAAGGACCATCACCACATAATTGTAATTTAGCATTAAAAGGTATTTTAGGTTTAGGTGCTTATGCAATTCTTCTGGATGCTACTGGTCAAACACAACGTGCTACAATATATATGAATCAGGCACAAGCACATGGTAAGAAATAAAAAAAATTACTGTGTTCTTTGCTATTATTTTTCTTTCTTTGTTTAAAAAAGCAAATTATTGGTTACAAGCTGCACGTGATGCTGAAAATTATCGTCTTCAATATGATTTACCAAATACTTGGTCACAAAAATATAATCTTATCTATCAATCTATTTTATCATTAAATTTATTTCCATCAGATGTTGCTAAGCTTGAATCAAATTATTATGCAACAAAAATGCTTGATTTTGGTGTTCCACTTGATTCTCGTTCAAAATTAACTAAGACTGATTGGACATCATGGATAGCTGTATTTAGTGATACTAAAGAACAAGAAAATGAAATTTTTAACAAACTATACAAATTTGCAAATGAATCACCAGATCGTATACCATTTAGCGATTTTTATAATGCATCTAATGGTCATGTATTAGGTTTTCGTGCGCGACCAGTTATGGGTGGATTATTTATTCGAGTATTATTAGAAAGTCCACTTATAGAAAATCTTTATACTCAACCGACAAAACCGTCTCTACGTCATGGACGTGTAAACAAATGTGATATATCATAATTAATTATCAATTGAATTTATCGACCAATGACTCTTTTATTCCTTTTGATTAGACTAAATGAACAAACTTTACTTTTATTAGATTATTCTGAGATTATTTTTTTTTGGTGCAATATTTTATATTTAATTTATATGAGTTCAAATCTTTTTTTAGTATACTAAAGACATATTGAAGTAAAATTAACATGTGTGTTCCTAAGAACCAGATTGATAAACTATTCGTGAAAGTCCGATCAAGGTATTGCAACCAGATAACAGAATTCCAATTTTCATCTATGGAATTTGTCTTTTTATTCAGCCGAGATTTTCTTTCTTGCTGATTAACGTGGCCAAGATTGTTTAAAGTCGACATATGAAACAGAAGTGAAACTTGTTACTTCATATTTTATAAAGGAGAAAATTTTTGAAAATAACAGATAATTCTAATAAGGAAAAAGTCAAATACCAATTAAATGGTAAACATTGTCACTTGGATGTTTACCAATTACATTATATTTTTTTTGCCTTATTCACGTACTTCATATTTTTATTCATTCATTTGAAAGAAATAACAGGAGGATATTTACGTAAATATTCAATTTTTGTTTTTATTTACACATTGATAGGCCTGATATTAGATTTGACTAGATTAAATGTATAATTCTATACTCGTATATAATTCAAACAAGCTATATTATTATCGATTAGAAGTTGAAAATGACATAGTCAAGCAAGAATCTTGATCAAGTAAAATATTCAAATTTTTGACCTTCAATACATATGTTGCTTTTCTTATGTTTGTAGTATTCAAATTAATCATTTGATCTAATATATTAGTCGTCTGAACAAATACAAGCAAAATAGAATTCATATTTTTCTATTTCATAAAAAAGTCTTTCGATTACTAAGTTTTCTTCACTATCGATAATTCGACAAAGTAATACAGCTCGGCACTGTTCCAAACAGAGTAGACAGATATCAAGGTTGTGACATCGCTCATCTCTACTAATTATTAAAAACTGTTATTATTTTTACCAGCTGAAATGGTGAGAAATGAACCTGTAGTAGAGATTTGTTAAGTTTCTTTCTAAAATACAGAATAAAACGAAGTATTCCTCGAATAAGCGATAAAATACACTATTAATTTATTTCGCTTTGCCAAAAAAGTAACGACTATATAAACATAATCTACCTTAAAATAAACTCGTAATCTTCAGTTCTAACTCTGTGCAATAATGTTTATTATATCAAAAAGTCTTTGACTTTGGTCATTCTTGATCAGCATAACAACTTTTAACAGAATAACTATTAAGAAATATATCGAAAAAAATGTACATTCTACGAAGCTTTTATACTTTGAAAAGACATGATAAGGGACAGCAGAATTATCTATCAGCTCGCAAAACATTTTCACTTAGCGAAACAAGATTAGTTGTACATGTTTTGGTTTCTGAAAACTAAGGCATTGGTAAATCGGCACTACTGTCAATTCTGTTGCAATTAGTAATACGAAGGAACATTTTTGAATTCAACATGACGGTAATTTTCTTTTTCACAAGGCTGGAAAGTAAACTTCAGATTTTTATCATGTTATGTGATGTTTATAAGTAGTTCTGATCAAGGCGGAACATCTCCGTGCTCGTCTCTATTCAATATAAAAATGTGGTTCTTTTATGTGGATAATATTAATTGAATTGTATTGTATATGCAGAAAAGTATACGGAACAAGCACCTAACAATCACTCATCATTTGAAACACACACCAAGTAAAGACTAAATATTTTTTTGCAATCCACACCCTCTTTCCAATTTGATGGCTTGAGTCAGATAGAAGTATACTGCAAGAATGAATGTTCAAATCGTCGTCAAATTGATGATGACTATTCAATACGAATTGTTGAATTTTCTATCTTTACTTTACACTAAATTCCCATGATACTCCATTGCTCTATACGGTTCAATTTCGTGCATAAGACTAAGTCGAATACAATGGAAATGAAGAACAATTGAACTTATAATATTTACATATATCTTAGTGGCTAATGTCAGATCCACCGAAGCCAATCCGAAATTCTCACTTTGAACACGTCCAATGTCGGATTGGGAAAGTAATTTTCGTCAAAAATCTTCATTACTTTCCAGATAAATGTTGGATTCGAATTCTCATTAGTGAACTATGTTAAAACATTGTAACTTTATATATCACATTCATCAATGAAGAAATTAAACTAGGATTCGTGCAGTTATGAATAAGTTTTTACAGAAGAACAGTTTGTGTGGAAAATTATCTACAAGTATTTGAGTTTGAAGTTAGTTTTTCGTTGTTGATGTGCATCAACACAGTTCATCAACAATAATTAAAAACCAAACATTTACATAAAAACTAATGGAGATTTTAACGAAAATGTCTTCCCTGATCTAACATTCGACGTAAGCTGCTTGGATGTTGTTGAAAAAATGAAAATATGTGGTGACAACTTACGACACCTTTTGATCATTTTTTTATCTTTTATATTTATAATGGATATAATGTGGACAGATGGATTTTACTTTCTTTGATATTAGTTTAAACTCCATTTCGAACGATCCTGAAGATAACATGTCAACATATTTCTATCTATCTTTTGGTTTATTAAGATAATCAAAGACTTTCACAATAAATAACTATTAAATTTTATATTTTGTACATCCTCAGAGTAAATATCTACCTTTTCAACCAAGTTGTTAATTTGTCAACAGCAAAATAATTTTATTTTATTGTTTATTGTGTACAAAAATCTCATTGTTCATACATATTCATCATTATATTTCTTCTAGATTTACAATGGTTGAATCAATTAAAGCTGGTAGTAAGAAAACCAATACACTATTTTATGGTTTTGTATTTTGTACTGTTGTAATCGTTCTTGCAAGTATTTTAATACAAACACGTAGTTCACCACCTGTAAACAAATATCTTTCTAAAAAAATATCATCAAAAAAACCATATGAAACATTTGAAGAATTTTATCTACATTATCTTCGTGAACATAGTCAAAAAACAACTCGACAATTTCATTATATTGGTACAACTCTTGTTGTTATAAGTTTTTTAGTAAATCCTATTCTGTTAATTCCAATATTAGCTGGAGGTTTATCTTCTTATTCTGTCATGCCATTCTTTCGTCATTTACCAAATGGTTTATATGAAATGGCTTTATTTATGATAATTTATCTTATTGGTGGTAAATTATTAACACGTTCATTTGAAAAAGTATTTCTACCACTTTTATTGGGATATGGTTTTGCATGGATTGGTCATTTCTATTTTGAACATAATAAGCCTGCAACATTTATTTATCCATCTTTTAGTTTTATGAGTGATTTTCGAATGATGTATGATGCAATCAGAGAACAATTATTTTAACAATCGTTTTTTTACTTAATAAAAATTAATCAGTTCTAAATTTGTAATCTTTTTTATTCAGTAATAATAAAAGAATTTTTTTCTAATTTGCAGATAGGAAAAAAAGAAATGAATTTATCAACTAATGATTTATCATTTTTAAGCGATCGGTGAGAGAGAGAGAGAGGCTGATTGATTTCTGTAATATATATTTTCTTTCATTATGAATTATAGCTCTCGACAACGATCAATGATATCAGCTGGTTTTCAATTATCGTCATCATCAGCTAACTCACCATTTGAACAATATTCATCAAAATTACCAGCATCAGTTCGTGGAGCACTCAATCATACAACAGGTTGTGTATAGATATTGAAAATAGTGTTGTCAAATAGACGAAATAAGCTCATGTTATTCTCGACAGATACGAATACTTTTTTTTCTCTGCAAATCTTCATGGAGGATTTGCTTCTTATTCATAAAAACCATTATACTTTCAATATTTTTATTCGAATAAATTGAATACAAAATATTTCGAATTAAAGATTCGATGAGTGTAAGATGAATATGTCAAAAAAAGAAACAGGAACAGTTAATAATCTGTTGTGTTCATCAATGACTAATCTAGAAGAAATAGTTTCCAATAAACTATATTTTGTATTTATATTTAGAAAAAAATTTTCGATTCCGTTTGATTCTTTTTTAATACAAGAAAATAAAAATCTAACGAGAAAAATATCCACATGTTGGACACTGTTCGATTTCATAATATAGTTATGAGTACGTTCTTGTAAGACTTAAAAGAACTTTAAAAAATTCGAACTCATCACTTATTGATGCAAAGTAATGACCGTTTTAATGAAATTTTTTCTAAAAGCAAAGTGTTTTCGAAAAACTTTAGTGCAGAGTACTAACCTGTAATTTTGTCTATATACAGATTTAATAATCATTAAATGGTTCGAAAAGTTTCAACGAAAATGAATATGTCTTTCGCGAAATATTTAATTTGTAAGTTGACTTGATTAATTTGTTCTCCTTTGTTAAACCACTGCTGTCTTTGGAAATTGAATATTTCGAGGAAGGCATGTTTATTTTCATTGAAACTTTCCGAACTATGTACTAATTATTAAATATGTTTATAGACAAAATTTCAGATCAAAACTGTTTATTTTGGATTTTTCGAAAGCAACGTGTTTTTAGTAAAAATGTCATTAAAACGGCCATTATTCTTCATCAGGATTGTTCTAAGCACTTGTCCTTAGAGAGACTTACTCATAGCCATAATATGAAGTCGAACAGTATCCGACAATTGCATATGTTTCTCTGTAAGTTATTAGCTGATTATATTCTCGAAATATTGATTTTACACATTCGCTAGTTTATATAATTAATTAATAAAATTATTTTAATTTATTTCATAGATATTTCATTATTAAGTGCTCGATTTTCACGTAATGGTTATTGTTGGCTTGTCTCAGGACAAACAGCTTATGTTTGGCTTGCTTCTAGTTCAAATCGTATAACTGTAAATGAATAATTTTTATTTTAATATTTATCATAATTTTATTTCTTAGGATGCTGTTATTCATCAAGAACTAAAATTACCTGAATGTGCTCTTGGACAACAAGCAAATTTAATGGAATTATTTTCAATGAATGCTGATGATGGTGATTGTTGTTCATGTTTAGTTATAACATGTGATGGTTATGCTCGTTATTGGCGAACTATTGTACGACCAAATGATTTTTATGATGTTAAACTTGAATTTGATCAAATCGAACTTTTATGTCATTTTAAAGTAATAATTCATAAATAAGAATTGCTTTTTTAGAATATCTTTTTCAGGATGATATTTGTGTTTGTGGTTCTTATTCAGGCAGATTATTTACAATTCCATGTAATGCATTATGTAATAAGGTAAAATCTATGATAAATCAAAAGAATTTTATCTTTTTTAATGATACATGAATAGGCTTATATTCGTCCATCATCATCTTCATCATTACTTTCTTCGATTGGTTTTGGCTTAAAATCCATGTTGTTCGGTACAAGTCGTCAAATGAAAGATAATGAAATTCTTCGTTGTCTTCATTCATTAAAAAACGATACATCAACACAAACAACAATAACAATGAATGTTGATTTAGTATCATTAACAGATAAACATTTATATTTTTGGTATTTAGCAGAAAGTGATATTCAAGTAAAATTAAGTTTTTTTTTGGATTGATTGATAAATTATGATTGCTTTTTTTTGTTAATAGCTGGTACACTCAATTGATCTTCAAGAAATATTTGCTAATGAAGCAATGAAAGATCAAGTTTGTAATTGATTTAATTTATTGAATGATAATGAAAGGATGTTTAAATTTAGAAATCAAATGAAAATCATCGAAATATTTCATGCATTTCATTAAGTGTAACACAGTATGTCATGCAAGATTGATTTAAAGAATTAATGATGAAGGAAAATTGTTTTTTTTTGTAGAGAAACAATTTATGTTCTTGCTATTCATCACAGTACACAAGATTATCGTTTGATGTTAGGTAAAATTAAAAAGAGAAAAATTTATTTGAGTTTTTGCTGTTGTCTTTTTTTAATAGGTGTATTTTCATTAAATCATTCGGGTGTTCAACTTGTTTCATTTATTTTTCTTACTAATCATCTTAATATTCGTGTAAGTTTTAATGATTCAAATATTTGAAATAAGAAAGAAATTTTTGAAGTAATGTAAGAAACTTTTAAGAATTACATTCGAGTTCAATTTTGGAAAGACGTTATTTAATTTTTGTCGGATAAGTTTTTTATTCTAATTTATAGGTTTTGCTGATATTTTATAGCAAATGAAAGTTCTGAAATAAAGATTTTTTTTTTCCAGCACTGGAATCGAATCTACTACAGATCGATGCTGAAGAATGATCTATAAAATATTCAGAGAAACATTGTTTAATGGACTTTTACCATTTAATGCGATTACACACTGGGTAAAACTGGCAGGTCTTTCTATAATATGATCTGCTCTATATTGCTGATAGTTTGACTAGACATGAGCGAAACCAGTCGTTTTGATATTGGTCCCGATTTTGATCTCCAGCAAAGTTCAAAAATTTAGAAATACAAGTTTCTGAGGTGTGAAAAAACTCTCAATGGAGTTATGATAATTTCTCGAGGAAACGAGAATCGACCATTAGTGCTTTTTTTATGATAGTTTTCGTATCCATACATGTATGTTCATAAATTTCTTGATGGATATGAATGTGAGAGCAAAAAAATATTGTGGGCAATGTGTTGTTCTTATCTGAGCTATTATGGAATTGAGGAGTAAATTCCTATTTCTGTATCCTTGAACATCTCTTCAAGTTTTACACTACCATAAAAGGCTTGATCCTGGTCCCGACGAGATTAAAACCATTTTACCCATATGTAAGTTTGACACTTGAAAGATAGTTTATCCAATTATCAGCTCTCAACTAATCCATGTATCACTGAATAGAAAGTATCTTAGAAGAAAAAACTATATATCATTGATATCTTTTACTATAGATAATTATTGATATAACTATAAATATCGTTCAATTTAAAACATAAAAACAGTTCTTTTTGCATATATCTTTACTTATTCATTTTATTTTCAGTTGGACGAAATTATTGTTAAACCACGTGTACGGATATTTGCTGTACCAAATCAACCAGCAATATTAGTTCATTCTAAAAAAGATGCTTTTATTTATACAGGTAAGATATTTAATTGATGTTTTTTTATCTTAATATTTAGTTTTTTTTTAATTAATAGGTCCTGATTATTCAGTAGTTCTTCGTGCTAATTTTTCGAATTTAAATGAAACAATATTAGGCAGTGGGTTATGTGCACAACGTTTACTTATATTTTGTCATGTACAAGGTTTAATAACACCTCGAGCTCAAGATTTAATGACAACGTAAAAGAAAGAGAAAAATTTAATATCGATTAACGTATATAATTTTGATGATTTGTAGTTTACTTTCAAAAACAGCAGACAATGATCCATATCAACCAATGATTAATTCATTTCATGCATTTCTTATTCGAAATGACCCAGTAAAGATTTATTTGATTGTATTAAATAGGAAAATAATTTTTATTCTAGGGTGGTGCTGTTGAATTATTTCGACGTTTTTTTAATACAATTGATAAAAGTCAATTAGATGATATTATTGTACAATTTGGCATGTTTATTATTGATGATCCATCTTTACAAGGTTATAAATCATTTTATATTACAATCTATTTTTTTAATTTATTTTCATTATAATTTAGATACAAATGATTTAACAAGACAATTAGCAAAAAAAACTGATATTTATAATTATTATTTTTCATTTCTTAAATTGATTAATGTCTGGAATAAAGTAAGAAGAAAAAATTATAATTAGATTTTTAGTTTATTGTTCAAATGATATTGTAACATAGATTTTCATTTGAAGGTCATTTCTATTTTATATAAAGAAGCGTTGTCATATTAAATTATGTTCATAAAGTGACAGAAAGAAAATGAATGTTATTTCTGTATAATAACTTATTCAATACTATTATTTATTTAACAATTTGAATCAAATTATCACCTACGCTTTCGATTATTTGATTATGTAAAATGACACGTTTTGTATAGTAGAAAAGAACTAATTTCACAAGATGAGACTGAAAACTAAATGATTTTAGACTTTAGTGATTTTTCTTTTAGAATAGAAATTGCAGTAAGAAAAAAATTGACAATCGAATTGTGATTGGTCTAAGATAATGTCAATACGAATGTACTACTATTAAGCATCATCGATAAGACCGGTGAATGCATTAAGAACTTACTATTACAGCTGGTTTTCTCCATTATTCAGGCTCTTTTATGATACGAAAAGCTAGCGGTGCTTATTAGAGCCCTTTGGGTTAGTTTCGAAGTCGACGAGCTTTAGTGCTTACACACCGCCTATCATCGTGAGTGTTTCATGTGCCCACCGGCTTTATCTTTGCATCCATAAAATTGTAATTAATCTTGAGATGACTGAATATGTATGATGAAAATAATGATATATTTATTGCGATAAAACAAATTCTATTCAAGCAAAAAGTACTCATAGTGGTTCATTTCACATTAAAATTATTTCAAACTTTTTGACACGTATGAACACAAAGTCTTAGTAAATTCTCCTCAAAAAAGATTAGAATTAAGATGTAATGCGAATTGAAAAGTTTTAGTTTTTTATTTCTGAAGATTTTAATTCGAACCAAAATAACTTTTTCAATATTGAATAATTTATATTTATACACTATATGTAAATCTATTTAGCTTCATGTTGCACATTTTAATAATGGAATTTATCATACAAAACAAATTTTACAACAATTTGGTGAGAAATTACAATGTGCTAAAGCTTTTGCTCAAACAAGCCAGTTTGTTATTCTAATCTTTTATTTTCCTTCTTTTATCTGAATTTCTTTCTTTAGACAATCGCTTTATTTACAAGCGGCATTTCGTTCAACATCTCGACATAATCAAGTAAATATACTCAAAAAGTATAAATTAAATACTTTCAAAGATAATTATTCCTTAGATTTCTCATATATCTGAAGTAATAACAACAGTTATCGTTGGTGTTATTGAAGCAAGTCGTACAATTGAAATTCAATCTTATGAAGAAGCAACACGTTTATTATTAATTGCATTTGATAGTATACAAAAATATCGTCAAGAACATGAACAAGAATCAGCTATATCATCAAATCCAATTGATGATGAAGATTTTACCCAATCAATTACTTGTCAACCGTGGATTTTATATGAACATAATCTTAATGATTTATATATTCTTCATGTAAATAATATTTTAGGCTTTTGTGAAATGTAATAGTTATGTGGCGTTAAAGATAAAATTATGGGCGCCATTAATTCTCCTATAATGATGAGTATTGTTAACAGAATTCCTATCTGTCATTTCCAAGATTTTTCTGAGAATGCCTCATCAGAGAAAGCTTAAAAATTTTAAACTAGATACGAAATAATCTTGGCTGCAAGAGCTAAAAATGACTTTTCCTCTTATCGCCTCCTTGTCTCAGCCGCAATACATTTTGATAGAGCTGAAAGTTTCTTTTTTTTTTAAAGATATTAAATACTGTTGGGATTATCTGCGTTCGTTTGTTTCCCTTTTATCTTCTTCTATTCAAATAAAAACACCTAAATACTGAAAATATTCTCACAAATGCAACTAGATCGTTTTCTACTGTAGTACACAAAGAATTTATATTAATGACCTATACTGGTGTTCCTACACATCGCAATGATTTCAAACATTCCCCATTCAGTCTTCGCTGATAATCAAACGACATATTGTCCGATTGTGAATTAGTTAAATATACAGTACTCATAGTTGCAGAAAGTCCTGGTACTAGAAAAAAAATACCTAAAGTGTAATCTTTTAGTGTTATAGCTTGACCACAAGTAGAACATGTCGAATTCTGATCGCAAGAACTAATCAGGACTTGATCGGTCATCAGATAGAGGAGCTAAAAGGTCAACATAGGTTTTTTCTTCAGACGAGAATATCTCAACATGAAAAACAAATCTGGTGACCTTGGATCCCTCATCCAATAGCTCAGTATTGCCTCCATCACCAATAAAAATGCCATGTCCAAACATTTTAGTTTACCTGATTTATCAAATAATCTGTGGATAATCTTCACATGAGAGTTAGTGAGAATTGTGGAAAAAGGACCCATATCTCTTGCCAACTTTAATTTTGTAGAAAATATTCATGATGGAACTGTTCCCAGACAATGGAGGCTTCTCTATTGCTTCAAGATTACATTGGATTGAAGTATCCTATCTGTAACACAATATAGACATGCAAATCTTTATTTTTTAATAAGAAAACCAGTGTTTTCATCGTAAATCCTTTGCATTAACGCTTATCAACTTCGGATCGATACTTGCGATCAAGTTTTATCGAGCTCTATTTGCAATCAAAGTATTAGACAAAACGATTGAATTCGATGTACTTGTTACCTAGTAGTAGTACTTCTTGGAACTATTGTAAAATAAGAACTAGTTAGATATAGGCTAAAGTATTTTTATTGCGTTGAATATTTTGTCAAGCATACAGGCCATAAAAGTGATATTCAAAGTTACTGCGTCGAAGACTATGCAATGACTTTTTCTCAAAAACGAAACTCAGGAAAAGTTGTTTGATATTTTATAATCTTCAAGTGGTTGTGTTAAAATTTTAGTTGAAATAAAATTTCTTTTTCTCTTTTCTTTAGTGCACTCAACATTTTGAACAAGCATTAGAATTGTGTGAATCACGTGAAGTACGTGAACGTTTATTAACAATGATATCTCGTCTTGTTTATTATGTTCTTGATGAATATCGACTTTATATATGTGATCTTTATTCAGATAATGAAATAAATAATGATTCAGAACAAAGACCATGGATTAATTATATACAAAAACGAAGTTTATTAATAAAAATATTTAGTAAATATTATATTTGTTCTTTTTCTTTCAAATTTAAATTGATGATTATTTTTCTTTTTAGTTAAATTAAAAGAATTTTCTAAAGGTAAACAATTAGCTGAAGAATTTGAAGATTATCAATCATTAATTGAAATATGTGATGAATTAAAAGATATTGAACAATTAAGAACTTATATTGAACAATATGGAGATAAAGTAAATATTTTCGTAAAATAAAAATTTTCAATAATTTAACTTTATATTTTAGTTTATGATAGTATTTGATGAATATTTGAGATCAAAATCAGCATTATCAGTTTTATTTCAAAAAGAATATTTTGATTTAAAATCTGTTCAACGTTATTTAAAATCTAAACCAGAATTTGCTTGGATGGTTGATATCAAAAATGAAGATTATGAACATGTAAAAAACAAAACAGAAAAGTTTTTTTTTTAAATCTAATTGATTTTTTTTTAATATTTAGGCTTCCTTATCAGCCTTACAACAAGTTGCTGGAACAATTGGTAAACGTCAAGTAAGATATTTATTCATAGTTATTTATTTATTTGCTTGTTTTATGAATAGACTCTTTTGGCTATTAGTAAATTTGCATTATTGGCAAGCAGTCATAATGAAATACGAAATGCTGAAGCTATTAAATTACGTTTACGTTTTATTGAAAATGAAGAAAATCTTTGTCAACAAAGACTTGATCTTTTATCAAACGTAATAAAAAAGAAAAAAGAATTAACAATTACTAATTAATATAATTCTTATTTTCTTTTTTAATTTTTAGCTTGATGAAGGTGAACGATTAAAACAACCACTTATTAGTGCAAAAGATATGATTAAGGTTGATGTATTTGAAATCGAAACATTTTTTTTTTAATTGAAATTGATTAATTTTTTTAGAATTTAATTTTAAAGAAAAATACATCACAATCATTGTTACAACGTTATTGTAGTGCTTTGAAAATACTTTCTCAAATGGAGGTAAGAAATTATTTTTATTTTTGATCGAAATCAGATTCCTATAGTTTATTTATATGAAGAAATCGAGTTATGATTATAAAAGAATATTTTTTAAATGCATAAATCATTTCAATGTAGTTTCAGTACACATCAACACATCTATTTTGATTTTGCCTCATTAACATTGATATTAATCGTTGAATTTGATTATTTCATATGAAGTTTATCTCACATGATAGAAGTTTTCTGAATTGGTTTTCTTTTTCTGATCTTATATAATGTAGTCTAATGAGTTACTGTTTCGAATAGCCCTTACATTTGTAATTGTGTTGATAAAAGCTTAGGAGTCATTTCATAGATGACATAATCTATCACGATAGAAGAGGGTACAATAAAATTTTTATATTCGCGTGAAAATTATTCTATTATAAAGACATAGGTGTTGAAGTGAAAGGGACTAGGATGGACTAGTTCCCGCTACTTTTTACGTCATATCATTGAAAATTTCGAGTTGCTTTTTGAAAATTGTCTACCAAGTTTTAAAATAAAGATTTTCTGAGTCATTTTCTGCCAGATAAACTACCTCGGACTGTTATGTCAAATTTTTTGGTTCTGTCCACTTCGAAAAATTATCGAGAGCCCTATGTATAGAACATGGATTTGCGTCAGCTGAAGAGGGAAAGGATATATTCTACGTTTCTTCTATTTTGAAGTCTCTTCCGTTGTCCTCAACGTTTATTATATCGGCAGGATTGATCATGGCTCTTGTGCAGTGGCTCGTAGATACTGTAACACAAGTTAAGAAATACATATATTCTTAGTCAAAAATAAAAAATTTTATTTTGACTTTTTATCAGATTCAAACAAATTGATATTTTTACTGATAATCATGTCAATATGATCGTAGAATTTAAAGTTGTCATTTGAATGATCAGTATTTATATTAGACATTGGCAAAAATAATGATGCTTAATTTTATTTCAATCTGTATAGCATCTGATGTATTTTGACTTAATTTCAATGCAAAACATAAATGATTGCAGATGATCAACAGTTTGTTATTATAAAGGACATTGGGAATAATCTAAACCTAAGACAAATTAAAAAAAAATAACAACAACGCAATCTGTTTTTTCTGTTCTATTTTTTGCATGTATTGAATGTTATTATTTGACTACCGACATCCACACAACCATTACTGCATATTTTTTGACCCACTCCTAAGATATTTCAAGTAACCAATAAAATGAGAAAAAATAACGGATGATAGCATTTATTAAACATTTTTTCGAGTTACAAAGCTTGATCTATGCCAGTGTTCAACCCAAGTTGCCTCACAAAAAAAATTTTTGAACCTCAGTGTAGGTCTACAGTTTGAACATTCTTCTGTTTCACCGACTTTTCTTTATTGACATCGGACAATGACGCATAGCGAGTGCACTGTCTGTTCAATGGTGCTATAAAGATCGCAAGTTGTTATATATAAGAAAAGAAAAACAAAGAAGAAAAAATTCTATCATATAATCGTGTTATTCCAACTACGGAATATCGGCTAACTATCAAGGGCATATCCTTTATTTCCAACTACGCAATAAAAGAAAGGAAAAAACGCTTGAGAAATTGATTTTCTCAGGAGAAAGAGAAAAGTCATCAATACCAAAATTCAACTGAGGTCGAGTCGGGTAACAAAAATTTGATCTATCTATATCTGACACTTATCTATTCATAAAAAAAACTCCTTGACATCCAGCTTTAAATGGAGTATTTTATCCGGATAAAAAAGATTAATATTGATTTACATTCGTAATCTTTAGTTGTTTTAGCTATCATAATACGTAATCTAATGAGAAGTTTTTTTTTTTCACTATTTATTTTTCTTTCTAGACTAATCCAGATTTTGATCAACTTCGTTTATTTATATTTGCTCAAGCAATAATAGTTGATCCTCTTAAACCAATAGGCAATTCAGCAGATCCATTATCATGTAATACTAAAACACTTCTTAGTCAATTATTTGATTATATTAAAAGTAAGCTTTTATATATTAAGATTTTTTTCTATTATTTACTGGAATAATTTAGGTGAAAATCTTGATAGATATAATATAATTCCATCACGTGAAAAACTTCAATTATCCAATGAACTTATTTCATTTCAAAATAATCATGATTTTCAAGAAGCTCTTTCAGCAATCTACTCATCATTATTAACTAGATAATTTGTTATTGTACAAAATAAAACAAAAAAAAACAAAAGAAATGTTCTTTTTTTTTTGTTCCTGAGAAAAATAAATAAATATATACATATATAAATACGTATATCCTGGAATAATCAAATATCATATTTGAGATTTTTAAAATTCGTAAAAAAAGCAGCTACAAAATCGCAGACAATTGTTCCTGTACCAAATATACCAAGAAATGAGCCAATACTTGTTGTTGTTTGAAATAAATCAAATCTTCCAACTTCACCTGTTACAGAAACGATTATATGCAAATTATATATTTTTGTATGTATACGATGTAATGCACTTTCGTTTGGTCGAAAATAATATCTTGATGTAAGAAAATTTGAACCAGGATCATAAGGATTTTCTCTATATGGTTGAATATCTAAACGTTGGAATTCATAATGTGGTTGACAATATTCTAAACGTCTATCAAGATTACATTTCCAATTAATTTTTATTTCAATTAATGAACCATAAAAAAACATAGCTTCATATTCTTCTGGATTTGTTTCAATCATTTCTAATATTTTTAATATACGAAATTTTGGACATAATGGATGATATTTTGGATGATATTCACATGTATCAATATATTTTGGTTTTATTTTATTTGCTACGAGATTATCTCGTATAAGACCAAGTTGAGGAAATTCAACAAAATGTTTTATAAATAAAATATAATTTAGTGCTCGATAATTTCTTTTACTTGCTGCTGTTGGTAATTTAAACCAGCATAATTGTGGTTTTTTAATAATTTTTTCATTTTCATATTCATAACGGTATAATGGTGGTAAAAGACAACGTTTTTGTTCATAACATTCATGTATTGATGTTATATTAAATGATGAATATTTATTTGAATGTTTTCTTCTTGCTGTAGTATCACAAAGTCTTAATACATGTTCTATTTCTATCACACGAGTTGTTATTGATACAGCAGAATTTTCTGTTGCTGGTATAATAAAATCATTTACATCATATAATGATTGTTCACAATGATAATTTGGAAAAAAACGCATTATAGATGAATTCTTGGAACAATCTGATGATGGCTTTACTTTAATTGTTACTGCTGATATTGGTGAACGATCAAATATTTGATATGAACTTCGTTGACACATTAAATACATACAACTAATAGCAAGCGATAATTTAACGATAAAAGATAAAGCTGCAATGCATTTCGATTCAAACCGTACGACTTTAGGAGCTGAAACAAGAAAATAAAATAAAGAAAATTCTCAAATAATTTTATGAAAATCTATTCAAAATTTTGCATTTTTATTCTTAACTTAAGATGACAATCTTAACTTCGGTCCAAAATAAGAAATATCGAAAATTGTCAATTCTAGATGGAAGAATTTTTTTAAAGTGTTGATGAATAGAACGTCATACGACACGCATGCAGACAGCACATCGATAAGGGTGAAATCTATAAACAAAGAAAAATTTAGGTTTTTGATATTTTCTCTTTTGATCAAAGTTGAAAGAGTCAAATTCAAAATAGACGATACTAACTTCAATATTAATTTCAGTCTTAACGGCTATGATCAAAGAATATTGTTTGAGACTTACGGTTTCTAACCAAGTTTCTTCATATAATGAAAAAAGAAATTATTTATACTCTCTCTACACGATAAATAAATTTTCTTAGATAGACTGGTTCATTTTGGTTTCATTGAAGTAATGGTTTCTGAAACTGAAACCACAATAAAGTATTGTTTGATGAATCTTGTAGTTAATACTTGATATATTTCGAAAATTTCTTCTGATTATTTAATATATTAGCAGTTGTATAGATTTTATTGATAATTCTATTATTATCCCATCTGTATGAAGTATGTTGACTATTTCAGAATAGAAACAATTTCACATGCAATGTTTTTGTGTAATTTTTTTTCGGTATAAAATCCCTTAGCAATACTTCATTATTATTTATCAGTTGATTTCAGTTTTCATCAAGAATTCTCCTGATAATGTTTGACTTTATAAATAATTATTTATTGAGTATTTTCAAATCTTCTCAATGAATAAGCAAAATATAGGTCATAACTATCAAAAATAAAAATAAAAAATACACTTCTGATGATTCTTATTTTGTTTTACTTGAGAATCATGCTTATATAAAAGCCATACGACAGTAATTCATCTTTGTTGTATCATATATTGATTCAAATACATATTGTTGTACTACATTAAATTCACTAGCTCTTATTTAATCATTGTATTTAAGCAACATAAATAAGGAACTAATAATACAGAAATCGTTCAGAATTTTTTCTATGATATTTTCACATGGTTAGATTGAGTTCGTTAATTTCTACAAGAATATGTGTAACGACGGAATCTCTCCAGGTGCTAAAAAGCTTTTGAGCTCAAATCTTGTCCACAGCTAGAGGATGTATAAACTAGAATAATCATAAGAGAAAATATGGGCCCCAGTTGTGTTTTTGACAGAAATACCGACTTTTTACTATAAATATCCTAGATGACTCTACTTTTCCAGTATCATCATAGTTTTGAGTTTTGATCTGAAACTTTACATACAATGAAATCTCAATCAGAATAGCTTATCTATAAAGTTTGAGAATTTCTGGATGAATTATTTTCGAGGTACCAGTATGTTAGCTTATTGACGATTTTTATAGATATTGTGTTATGTATGAATATTTTGAAAAATCCATATCTCAGAGATAATTCATCAAGAAATTCTCAAATTTTGTAGAAAAACTATTCTGATTGAGATCTTGATGTATGTAAAGTTTCAGATCAAAACTCAAAACTATGATGTTACTGGAAAAGTCGAGTCCTATAGTAAAGTTATAGTAAAAAGTCATTATCTCTGTCAAAAACACAACTTGGGCCTATGTCGTCTCTCAGGATTTTTCTAATCTATATATTCTCTAACTGTGGACAAAATTTGAGCTCAAAAGCTTTTCAGCACCTGGAGAGACTACTTCGTAAGAAAAAAAATTTCAAAACATTTTGAAATAAAATTTACAAAAAAGACGTATTAAAATCAGCATGACAAATTGTACACTTTTTTATGTAGAAAATTCATTCCGTATTTTAATAAAACTTTGTTTTTCCTAGTGTTTCTTTTATTCGATAGTCTTTAAAAAGTAGTTTTGAAATTTGGCATGAAAGATTGTATTTAGAAACATGGATATATTGATGTTTTATGTTGCATACTAAGTCTCAAAATTACTTTTCAGACATTCGAGAACAAGAACAACATTAGGAAAAAGAACTGAATGAACAAGCTCAATCTAAGTGTATAAAAATATCGTAGAAAAAAAATTCTATTCGGTGTTTGATTAATTAACAATTTAACTAATTAAACAGATGACTAATTAAACATATCAAGTATCATGATTATTCACAAACATATATCTACTTACTCTCATATTGTGTGATATGTTCCAAAATGTGTCTAATTGCAGTTGGTAAACAGTGTTGTTTTACTGGTCGATTTTTTGTTATTGTCGAAACTGTATATCGATGAGAATTCATCTCAATTCATATGAATATTTGTCTGTTTTATGAATAGCATTTTCCTATAACGGAATCTTTATTATAAAAGCTAATGAAATTGCGAGATAAAGACAAGAAAAAAAACACGAGAAAAATTAGATATGATTGAAAAAAAATTGGAAATAGAAGCTTTTTTCATCATAGACAAAGAAAAATGTTTTTATTATTAGATAAGAAGAATGAATTCGCTTACTCCGGATGTTCAATCACTCTCAGCGTCATAAGATTATTAATAATGTGATTTGCTCATATGAAATAGATGACAAAGAGAAGAGACAAACACACTTGTTGATAGATGAGAACAGAAAGCAGTAAAACGATAATTGATCATGCGTCAACATAGATTACAGATGCAAAGAGACAGAGAGAATAATCAGAAAATCTCTTATCTTTGCTTTTATTTTGTTATCCTTTCTGCTTCTGTCTAACATCGTGAAACAAGAGCATAGAAAAACTAACAATTATTTTCGGAAAACAACAACTGATATCGAGAAGAGACGATTGAGAGAGGAAAGAACAAGAACATAGATAAGAAAAAAGAAAATCATCTTAACTATCTAGAATATATATATTGACCCAATATAAGAATTTGTATATTGTATTAAATCACATAAGTACAAAATGATGACGAACAAAAAAAGAAGAGAATGACACCATATTCAACACGTCAGGATGTTATTTTTAATCCAATGTATATTAACAGGTTCTTATTGTATTGACGACTGATGGCTTTTTTCATTGTTGATATTCTATGCATTGATGGAAGTGCAATATGTTTTGAAACAATTGTATACATTATTTTTCTGTCGTTTGTTTAGTAAAATAAGCAAAAACAAATTAAAAACAAATATGACATCAATGTGTTGGTGAATAAGGACAAAAGACGAATGAAAATCATTAGTTTTTCTTTTTCCATAGAGTATAAAATATATAAATCAAAATCTCAAATTACTCATACAAAAAAGACTTGTGAATAGAGTATTATTTACATAATCAATTCGATTGCATAATGAAATTAGCAAATATTTCATTGAGAAAATTAACATCAAGGGGTCTGCTTCTGAATAAAAATAACAGAGACAAACATTTTCGTGGTGAAATCATCTTTCTATTATTATACTTTCAACAACAACTGCAATTAATCCTTTACTCTTAAAAGATGTTATGATATTATGTTATGTTTAAATATGGTATTGTTCGTATAAATTTATTAACAAATGAAATAACTTGTAATACAGAATAGCTCCATAATAATTGAAAAATAATTGGAGGATCAATTAAAGTATAAAAATTCATTTGTCATTGAAATCAACTCATGGTAGGTATGAGTACATCACCAATTGTATTTTAAGTATACTACTCTTGCGGCTAATTGTTCTGATCGAAGAATACGGTTCGTATACGACTATTTACGGTGAAATGCGAGACGTTAATGGGGCCATATTTCTCTGTAAATGCAGATCAATGATACGACTGCATGAATGATAGAATACAACAACATTACGTCATCTTTATGGTGTTTGACGGCTTAAGTGCAGTATGTTATACGGGCAGTAATACCGAGTGTGTTATAACAATACAACAACGACTGTAAACGGTAATTGATGATGATCTGTAATGATCAACCTGGGTGTGATTGTACAGGCTGAAGAGCTTTTTTAATAATTCTATGTTCAGAAAAAATGATTTGATTTTTTATTTTATTATTATTTGTTCAATTAAATTTAACTAATCAAGCTTATCATATCAAATGTTATTGATTGACTATTCTGTTCATTTCGTTTATTATTATTGGAAGCTATAGGCGTACATAAGTAATTCTACAACAAACAATGAACAATCATGTGCTATGTTAATGGAAGAAGCAGTAATTAGTTTAGCACATAAAATATATATATTGCTATTTCAACTAGACTCTTATGATGTATATAAGTCATCGTCAAATATTGTATTTTCTTCAACAATTCAAACCAAATCATTGATCATCTATTCATAGCGTTTATAGTTTGCTTTTAATGTAGCGGACATAATCAACAAGTAATTATTCCTTTAACATTTATACAAATATTATTTTTTATTTTCTTATTTGCTTTTATTAGTATACATCCCCTTTATCTTTAGGACAAAACATAATGTGTTAATACATTAGATTTAACTATAATAACAAGTACAAGGTTTTCTTTCATAATATTTATTATGAATTTAATCATATTTTTAACATTTATTGGAATAATAATTTATATTATTTATTTGATTTAGCTCGTACGATTGAATTTCTCTATTCCAGTTAAGATATTAAATAAAATATTTCTTCTAATTTGTTTTTTTTTGTGAAAAGTAGTTTAATTTTTTTCTATGCGATTTCTTTTTCGTTGGATCTTATATATAG